CCCCCCCCCCCCACCCACCCACCCCCACACACACACCACATAACTGTCAGGTATTTTCCCGAATATGTTGCTCAAATCTAGGTCCTTCCTAAAACTATGATCTATACAGTGGGCTTATGTACCCAGCTTAAGTTGTTGGAAACTATGCCGTACTTTATGCTACTCAGAGCTGTCTAGTCTCAGTACACTGTGGCCCAGTTCGTCGGAGCTTAGCATGTAGACTAGCTGTTCAGAGCTTCGCTGTCTGCCTCTAACCTTTAACCATTGCTGTCTTCGTCTAGCATATAGACTAGCTGTTCAGAGCTTATCTGTCTGCCTCTAACCTGTAGCTTAGCTGTTCAGAGCATAGCTGTCTCCCTCTAGCCTGTAGCCAAGCTGGTTATAGCAATAACTCCTCCCCTAACCTGAGTTGTTTCACAAAAGACACAAGAAAAAAAACTCTCCTGTAAAATTCATCTGAGCGAAGTATCGGTGTTTTAAAAAATGAAATTTTTAAGTTAAGCGTCTCTTAAAACTTGCTGTTGCCTCCGTTACGTGAGAGGGGTCTAGGGATTGAGGCATTAGATCATCGTTGTTAATGGATTTGGGAGTGAAAGATGGCTCATTTGTAGCCGGCCCTGACAATAGAAGCATGTTTTACGGCCGGTGTGGGCCGCAGCTTTGTCCGAGTATAGGACAAAAACCCGCCAAAACTTAGGCTTTTGTTAAAATGTTGCGTGCGTTAAAGGAGATTAGGTTGTTGTTGTTTTAAATTCACAGATTTTTGTTTTGTTTTGTTGAGCTGGCTAAGTAACGACAGGGGCGTGTCTGTTTTATAATTTATATAAGGAGATGTGATAGGGCGTGGGGGATGGGGTAAGGGGGTGGGCTAAGGGCGGAAGACAAATCGCTGATATGTGGGAAATGCATATATATGTATGTTGAGATCGAGACTTCTAGTCTGTAGCCAGTAGCGTCACAGGGCGGGGGGGGGGGGGGGAGGCGGGGGGGGGGGGGAGTCATTAAAACGATAACGTCAAAGGAAAAACATTCTAAAAAATGTCAAAACAACTTTATCCAGGGGCGGGGGTGACACAAAATCGGAGCTACACAACAGTGGGGGGGGGGGGGGGGGGGGCTGACATCTTTTAACACCGTATCTAACGACGCCACTGGTGGTAAGTGTTGTCCCATTGTGTCTCCCACTCACACCCACACTCGCACCCCGACTCACACCCCCACTCACACCCCCCACTCACACACCCCCACTCACACCCCCAACTCACAGCCCCACTCACAACCCCCACTCACACCCCAACCCACACCCCCACTCACACCCCCTCTCACACACCCCCACTCACACCCCCCACTCACACCCCACTCACACACCCCCACTCACACACCCCCACTCACACACCCCCACTCACACCCCCCACTCACACCCCCACTCACACCCCCCACTCACACACCACTCACACCCCCCCCCACTCACACACCCCCACTCACACCCCCCCACTCACACCCCCACTCACACACCACACTCACACACCCCCACTCACACCCCCCCCCCCCACTCACACACCCCCCCACTCACACACCCCTGTTGACACTAAAGAAGACGTCAAATAGATTTTAAACATTTGTAGCTTTCTCCAATATTTTGTGAGTCGCTGAAACGGTGACACATCACACGACGGTACTTACACTAAGCACTTTCACTAAACAAAACACTTACACTAAACACTTTCACTAAACACTTTCACTAAACACTTTCACTAAACACTTTCACTAAACAAAACACTTTCACTAAATACTTTCACTAAACACTTTCACTAAACAAAACACTTTCACTAAAAAAAGCACTTTCACTAAACACTTTCACTAAACAAAACACTTTCACTAAACAAAATACTTTCACTAAACAAAATACTTTCACTAAACAAAACACTTTCACTAAACAAAATACTTTCACTAAATAAAACACTTTCACTAAACACTTTCACTAAACACTTTCACTAAACAAAACACTTTCACTAAACAAAATACTTTCACTAAACAAAATACTTTCACTAAACAAAACACTTTCACTAAACAAAATACTTTCACTAAACAAAACACTTTCACTAAACAAAACACTTTCATTAAACAAAATACTTTCACTAAACAAAACACTTTCACTAAACAAAATACTTTCACTAAAAAAAGCACTTTCACTAAACAAAACACTTTCACTAAACAAAACACTTTCACTAAACAAAATACTTTCACTAAACAAAACACTTTCACAAAACACTTTCACTAAACACTTTCACTAAACAAAACACTTTCACTAAATACTTTCACTAAACACTTTCACTAAACAAAACACTTTCACTAAAAAAAGCACTTTCACTAAACAAAACACTTTCACTAAACAAAACACTTTCACTAAACAAAACACTTTCACTAAAAAAATACTTTCACTAAACAAAGCACTTTCACTAAACAAAACACTTTCACTAAACAAAACACTTTCACTAAACAAAGCACTTTCACTAAACAAAACACTTTCACTAAACAAAATACTTTCTTAAACAAAACACTTTCACTAAACAAAGCACTTTCACTAAACAAAACACTTTCACTAAACAAAATACTTTCTTAAACAAAATACTTTCACTAAACAAAGCACTTTCAATAAACAAAACACTAAACAAAACACATTCAGAAAAACAAAACTGTTCTGACCTAAGTATTAGCCTGAACTTAAATGCTTTTAAATCTGTCAACCAACTTCACAATTTATCATGTAGGCCCCTACTTCACGTAAGCCCACCAAATTCCGCTAGTAATCTTGGGACATCCACCCACCTGTAATCCTAATACATTCACATTTTTGTGGGGTTTTGTTGGAGCCGTGGTCCCATACATTGAATACAGATACAAAAGGAAAAAAAAAAAGAAAACAAAGCTTTTATTTTTTTATTTTAACGAAACAAAAATATCGTCGAGAGAAGTTCGGTTTCCTAGGCAACGCATTGACAATCGTGGGACGGTCATGAGGGGAGAGAATCAGAGAAAACCCGCCCTGGGAGGATTGAGCCTAGAGACTAGGTGGGGGATGGGAGGAGGGGATGGGAGGATGTGGAGGATAATGTAAACCAGTGTAGGGAGGGGTGGGGAGGGGTGGGGAGGGGTGGGGAGGGGTGGGGGAGGGGTGGGGAGAGAGGGATAAAATAAATATGAAAAAAGAATTATTGAAATGACAGATTTAACCGTGGAAAAACAGACGGCGGGCAATGAATTGGTATCAGTTTCTGATGGACAGGAGTCGTTGAGAGGACGGGATGGGAGGGGTAGGTGGGGGGTTGACCAAGAGAGGACGGGATGGGAGGGGTAGGTGGGGGATTGACCAGGAGAGGATAGGATGGGAGGGGTAGGTGGGGGGTTGACCAGGAGAGGACTGGGAGGGGTAGGTGTTGGGGGATTGACCAGTTGAGGTTGGGATGGGAGGGGTAGGTGGGGGGTTGACCAGGCTTGTTAGGGTGTCACAGGTGAGAGATGATTAGGCCAACTTGCTCAGGTCTAAAACGTCACCTGTTATTACAGGTAGAGTAGAGAAGCTTTGTTTTGGTCAGTTGGGGGTTAGTTGTGGGTCAGTTGTGGGTCGGGGGTTGGTCTCTTGAATACATGTGTTGATTAGAGGTGTATGCTACTTAGTGTAAGAGGTAGATGTCTGTTCAGGTAAGAATCACGTGTAGGTACAGGTAAGTGATGTGTGTTAGCACAGATAGGACTCGGTGTCCATTCAAATTAATTATTATCGTGTTTTCTTACTGTTGCTGTTGACATATTCTTGTTGTAGTTGTAGTCCTTAAGTTTTATGTGTGGTCTAAGTGTTGTGGTTGTTAGCTTACTGCTGTTGTTGCTGTTGTTGTATTGGTGTTGTTATATTGGTGTTGTAGTAGTTGTCCTAAAGTTGTAGGTGTGGTTTAAGTGTTGTATTTGTTGTCTTACTGCTGTTGTTGCTGTTGTTGTATTGGTGTTGTTATATTGGTGTTGTAGTAGTTGTCCTAAGGTTGTAGGTGTGGTTTAAGTGTTGTATTTGTTGTCTTACTGCTGTTGTTGCTGTTGTTGTATTGGTGTTGTTATTTTGGTGTTGTAGTAGTTTTCTTAAAAATGTAGGCGTGGTCTAAGTGTTGTAGTTGTTGTCTTACTGATGTTGCTGTTGTTATGTTGGTGTTATAGTTGTAGTTGTTGTCCTAAAGTTGTAGGTGTGGTCTGAGTGTTGTAGTTGTTATCGTAATGCTGTTGTTGCTGTTGTTATATTGGTGTTATAGTTGTAGTTGTTGTCCTAAAGTTGTAGGTGTGCTCTAAGTGTTGTACTTGTGGGCCTGTTGGAGATGACTCACATTGTCTGTTTTCGCACGTGCATTTCACGCTCGTTTAGCCGCTGAGATAGCCGGTCGATGACCCTAATATATTTTTTAGACCTCGCCCCTAATCCCCCCCCCCCCCCCTCGTACGGGACGTAACTCATACTTCCGGCGGAAGTGGGCGGCCATCTTGGTGTTAGTAATGCCAAAATCAAACACCGAGGGGGTCGAGTAAATGACCAAACTGATGATCATCGATGAAGTGGACCCGGGGTTCGTGTTAGGGGGGGGGGGGGTGGAGATATGGAGTGAAAAAAAAGTTGCTGGTGGAAAGGGGGGGGGGTGGAGGAAAAGGGAGGAAGCCGCCTTCACTTTCCAAACGTGAGTTAGGTACCCATCAGAGCTGGGTGGACTCAGGAATTTTATAGTAACTTGAACACGGATTCATGAAATATTTGATGAAATAGAGGATAACAATATCTGATGAAATAACTGATAAAATATCGATGAAATATTTGAAGAAATATTTGCTGAAATAATTCATAAAATTGATAAAATAATTGATGAACTAATTGATAAAATACTTGATGAAATGATGAAATAATTGATGATAATAAAATAATGTATTAACTACTTCATGAAATAATTGATGAAATACTTGATGAAATGATTGATAGAATATTTGATAATATACTCGATGAAATACTTGATGAAATACTTGATGAAATAATTGATGAAGTACTTGAAATAATTGATGAAATACTTGATGAAATACTTGATGAAATACTGAATGAAATTCTTTATGAAATACTTGATAAAATACTTGATGAAATACTTGATGAAATACTTGATGAAATACTTGATGAAATACTTGATGAAATAATTGATGAAATACTTGATGAAATAATTGATGAAATATTTGATGAAATACTTGATGAAATAATTGATGAAATAATTGATGAAATACTTGATGAAATAATTGATGAAATACTTGATGAAATACTTGATGAAATAATTGATAAAATACTTGTTGAAATAATTGATGAAATACTTGATGAAATACTTGATGAAATACTTGATGAAATACTTGATGAAATACTTGATAAAATACTTGATGAAATAATTGATGAAATACTTGATGAAATACTTGATGAAATACTTGATGAAATAATTGATGAAATACTTGATGAAATAATTGATGAAATACTTGATGAAATAATTGATGAAATACTTGATGAAATAATTGATGTATTACTTGATGAAATACTTGATGAAATAATTGATGAAATACTTGATGAAATAATTGATGAAATACTTGATGAAATAATTGATGAAATACTTGATGAAATAATTGATGAAATACTTGATGAAATAATTGATGAAATACTTGATGAAATAATTGATGAAATACTTGATGAAATACTTGATGAAATAATAGATAAAATACTTGATGAAATATTTGATGAAATACTTGATGAAATTATTGATGAAATAATTGATGAAATAATTGATGAAATACTTGATGAAATACTTGATGAAATACTTGATGAAACAATTGATTAAATACTTGATGAAATACTTGATGAAATTATTGATGAAATTATTGATGAAATACTTGATGAAACTTCTTGCCCAGCCGTACCGGAGGTCTCAATCACGGTCACGCCACGTGATCCGGGCTAATAAAAAATCGTTTGTCACACCGCGTCCTGTCCCCGTCACGTGACTTTACCGGCCGAACGAACCGGATGCCGACATGACATGGATGCCTCGATCTGGGGCAGATAACTCGAATTATCTAAAGCCCGGCAGTGACAGCTCCTAAATATTTTTTCCGTTGTGGACCACCAAGGGTGGGACGGGGGGAGGGGGGAGGTTTGAGTTGTGGGGGAATCCTGGGAAGGTTGAAGCTTAAAGCTTTCCATTTAGCGACTCAATGAAGTCATATTTCGCCAGAGAAATATGACTGACGAGCACCCGTTTGATTTGATTGGTCTACGCTTTACGGAGGGAGGCTAAAAATAGAAATATGACGTCATGCATCTGCTAGCCTACCTAGTGTTTGTTGACTTTGTTTTTTTTTTACAGGTGAGAAAAATAATTTCGGCGATAACATTTTTTTTTACATACCAAGACATTGAAAGCAGAGAAAAAAACATCGTATTACTACTTATGACGTCATCCAACATAAACTGGACAGTGGTCAATAAGGTAGTCCAAAATAAAGTAGCATTTTGTTTTGTAATGGAAACGTCAGATAGAAACTTGATTCTGAAGCGAACATTTGTATTTGTTCACCCTTAAAATTGGTCCCTAAAACGAGAATGTTAATTGATGAACATTGAATGATAACCCTTAATTTTAAACCCTTAATTTGAAACCCTTAATGTGACCTTAAAATGTCAACTTTTATGCATGAACCCTAAAGTGCAAACTTTTAAATGTGAACCCTTTAATTTGAAACGTGTGAACAGGGACGTGGGGTTTAGATTACGTTTGAAATGTTGGATTTAGACAGACAACGGATCGCATTTCGGTATCGATGATTTTTTTTTAATGGTTAACAAATTAATCCTGAAATAAACAGAGAGATGAGGGCAGCAACAAATTGTGTGGTGTGGGCGAGGGCAGCAACAAATTGTGTGGTGTGGGCGAGGGCAGCAACAAATTGTGTGGTGTGGGCGAGGGCAGCAACAAATTGTGTGGTGTGGGCGAGGGCAGCAACAAATTGTGTGGTGTGGGCGAGGGCAGCAACAAATTGTGTGGTGTGGGCGAGGGCAGCAACAAATTGTGTGGTGTGGGCGAGGGCAGCAACAAATTGTGTGGTGTGGGCGAGGGCAGCAACAAATTGTGTGGTGTGGGCGAGGGCAGCAACAAATTGTGTGGTGTGGGCGAGGGCAGCAACAAATTGTGTGGTGTGGGCGAGGGCAGCAACAAATTGTGTGGTGTGGGCGAGGGCAGCAACAAATTGTGTGGTGTGGGCGAGGGCAGCAACAAATTGTGTGGTGTGGGCGAGGGCAGCAACAAATTGTGTGGTGTGGGCGTGGTGCGGTACACGAGGGTGTCATCCCACCCCCTCCATCAATCCCACATTTTCGGTTTGGTGTCACCCTGCCCCCTTTTATTTTATTATATTAACTTAATAAAACATTGTTTCGACAGTAAATGTTTTACTATTTTTAGGTTTGATGTCATCCCCTCCCCTAAACTGTGTCACACAGTACAGTCTTCACCCTAGCCCCCACCCCCCACCACCTTCAACATAACCAGCATAATACCAGACGATACCGGATCAATGACACCAGACACCAGACACCAAAAAACCAGACACCAAAAAACCAGACACCAAACATAAGACACCAGACACCAAACACCAAACACCAGACACCAGACACCAGACACCAGACATCAGACACCAAACACCAAACACCAGACACCAGACACCAAACACCAGACACCAAACACCAAACACCAAACACCAGACACCAAACACCAAACACCAGACACCAGACACCAAACACCAGACACCAAACACCAGACACCAGACACCAAACACCAGACACCAAACACCAAACACCAAACACCAAACACCAGACACCAAACACCAAACACCAGACACCAGACACCAAACACCAGACATCAAACACCAGACACCAGACATCAAACACAAGACACCAGAAACTGCTGCAATAATACCCCCACGATATCGTGATAGGTAAAGTACTGTTCACGTGACCCCCTGGTACGGCTAAATCACGTGGTCGATGTATCGTGTGTTGTAAGCTGTAATTTGATTGGATGAGAACAGCTCGCATGGCTAAACTGTAGCAGGTCTCTAGCATATCGCGGGTAGCAAACGCGGGCTCAAGAACACAACAGGACATCATGTGATGGGACATGCTACATGACAATGTCCTGCCAGGATACAAGCTGCCCATGTCCTGATAGGACATAGCGAGACAAAGTCCTGCTAAAACAACATAACAATGTGCTACTAGGACTACAAGGACAGTGTATCTACTCTTTCGTTACGTAACCAGACCAACATTTCTAGAACTGTTCGCCATCTTTTGCTCATTTTCAACAGAAAAATGCAAGCTCACATAGTTATTTCAAATAATTTGCGCATGCGTGGTTAGTATGACAACTAAATAAAAGCGAAGTCGATCCTAAATTATTTTTGTTTATATATTCGATAGATGATAAGCGATATTTAAATTAAATGTTTATATATTAAGCAATCTTTAAATCAAAAGTGATTGTAAGTCCAATCTTCAAAAACTCGCAGAAAATATATTTCCTTTAACAAATACCTAGTCAGTTCAAACAATGTTGGTTGCATACAATCATCATGTAGAACTTTACATAAATCTATAGAACTTTACACAACTCTACAGAACTTTACATAAATCTACAGAACAAACAGTATAGAACAATAAATTTCACGGTAAAAGTAACAATACGAAATTTTACCGCGTGAAGCAATAAGAACATACAACTGCATAAAACAATATGAACATATAACTACATAAAACAGTATAAACATATAACTGCATGAAATGATATGACCATATAACTTCATAAAAATATATGAACATATAGCTACATTAAAGAATATGAATGTATAACTATATGAAATAATACGGATACATGACTTTGTGAAACAGCATCATGATATGACTGTGAACATGACTGCAAGAAACAACATGAACATATGACTGAACATATGACTGTGAACATAGGACAACATGAACACATGACTGCATAAAACAACATGAACATATGACTGCAGATACCTAATAAAGAGGAGATAATCCAAGACAGCTATCACCAGCCAACAAGACACTCCAGACAAAAAATGTGTCTTTTGTCAGATAACTCACGTTAGTCGTCAGTATTTCTCTCCCCTGAATGTCACTAGTTATCTCCCCTGAATGTCAAACAACTAAAGACAGTGTTGCTGCCACTTTATAGCGTTCACTTCATGTGGCTATTTCAAACAGTCAGTTGACCAACATTTGACTGCGAACCATTCACACCCAGGCTTTTGGGTAGGTGGTGATTAGGTCAAGTCTAGTATTGCTAACTTGCTAAATGTGATTAAGTTTTTGCGTAGAGTATAATTTAGCATTGTTTTCTTAATGTTAATATAAAAGTCTAATTCTGTTCAAGTTTCATTTAATGTTTTGTTTAAGGAAATAATGTTTTGTTTCAAATCTTATCAAATAAAAAACCAAAAAAGGTTATTAAAAGAAAACTAAAAATAACTTTCGTACATAAGTAAAATCAATTAAAACCGTATAAAAGCAATAAAAGACAAGCATTTAAAAATATATATTCAAGTTTTCTTTTTCTGGCGTCACACTGGGGAGGGGGGGGGGGGGGGTGACACTAACTTATGACGTGGTGTTAGAAACTAAAAATTGATTGGTCGGCACAAATGACGTGACCTTTGACCCTGTTCCTAACTAAATTTGTCTAATCGGAGAGAAATCTTGCGAACATAGGCTAATTGGAGCAATTTCCCCACACTTTGAACTGTATTCTTTACATTAAAATCTGTGCTGCCAAATGTAGTTAAACTGTCGTAAAATGGAGAAGTCTTAAAACATTAAAATCAATTAATTATTCTCAATACACGTGTAGGTAGGTAGTATGTCTTGAAGGGCTAAATATAGGTCGTATGTGTCACTATGCTGGAAAATATGTCATGGGCTATATAATATGTCATAGAGGGCTGATACAGATGTCATGGTGGCATGGGCTAAAAAAGGTGTCAGTATGGGCTGTGGGTGTCATAGTGGGCTTATACAGGTATCATAGTGGGCTTATACAGGTGTCATAGTGGGCTTATACAGGTATCATAGTGGGCTTATACAGGTATCATAGTGGGCTTATACGGGTGTCATAGTGGGCTTATACAGGTGTCATAGTGGGCTTATACAGGTATCATAGTGGGCTTATACAGGTGTCATAGTGGGCTTATACAGGTGTCACAGTGGGCTTATACAGGTATCATAGTGGGCTTATACAGGTATCATAGTGGGCGTATACAGGTGTCATAGTGGGCTTATACAGGAGTCATAGTGGGCTTATACAGGTATCATAGTGGGCTTATACAGGTGTCATAGTGGGCGTATACAGGTGTCATAGTGGGCTTATACAGGAGTCATAGTGGGCTTATACAGGTATCATAGTGGGCTTATACAGGTATCATAGTGGGCTTATACAGGTATCATAGTGGGCTTATACAGGTGTCATAGTGGGCTTATACAGGTGTCATAGTGGGCTTATACAGGTGCCATAGTGGGCTTATACAGGTGTCATAGTGGGCTAATATAGTTGGCTTATACAGAGTTGGTACACATTTAACTCGTGTGTCTCTTGTCAAAAGATGCTGAAACAGATTTATACGGCTGTTACATGTCATAATGCCATAGACTTCGGGACACGTTAAGCTAAATCAGGGCTCCAAGCAAAAAACAAAATTAAAATTTTCGTTAAAAATCAACAGAAACTTCCAGAACTGCGTGTAAAAATAAATTTAAAATTGTTTTTTTTTA